AAGCAGCCCAATGTGCTTGGTGTGTGATTTTGTACATATGTTCATATTGTATATACTGAATTGGTATCATTTATCATCTAGCTGTTGGTAATTCTGTTTGTGTCCGGACGACTTCCACTTGGATCATCAACCTGAGAAGGAATGTAGGCGTACTGCTGTAAGTCCTACAGTTCTTCAAGGGTAGTTTGTCGTGCCAGAATCCACAACATTTGATCTGTTGATTGTACATATGTTTGTGTTAAATAATTGTGTGAGTTCCAATTATTGTAATTGTTGGTTAATCTTGTTTGTGTCCAGACATTCCACAACTTACAATCGTCAACCTGAGAAGGGTTGTAGGCGTACTGGTGTAAGTCCTGCGATTCTTCAAAGGAATTCCATCAAGACATGATCCGCGAGTTTGTGTGTACTGTTTGTATATATGTGTGGTGTGTCATATCAATTGGTGTTTTTTGGATTCATTGTGTTTACTCGCTGTTTTCGTACCTTGTTGTTATTACATAATTTTGTTAAAATTTTCGTCGTGCTTACTTCTGAAGTTGTTTCGAGTCTTCTACATCCGTGAATGAATTGACTGATGTTAGAGACAGCAGATGGGGCGTATACGCCGGGGAGGCTAGGCTATTGCTGAGAATGAAATGCACACGGAGATAATTGTTAGCTGCGGTCCGACACGCCGGGGAGAAAGAGTGTAGACGACTGAGGCTTGCATACGTCACCGCTACTAGAACTGAGGCAGAATGAGTGACAAGCGATTGCAGTGATAATTGGTAGTGAGTAGATAAGAGGATGTGCGTAGAGTATCATGAGTTGGTGCTATGGTCACGTTGCATTCTGCAAGAGTCATTCTAGCAAGTGGCGATTGTGTTGCAAGATGTCAAGAGGAGGTCTCTGTCTAGAGGCGCAGGTCGTCATTGATGTGTGAGATTGTGCTGTGAGTATGCTTGTGGTGTATTGGCTTTTCTGTTTGTTTTCCATTTCAGCTCTGTCCGTGTGACCCAGGTTCTCGCAATGGCATCCAAGTCAACGTGTATTGGTCGTGATGGAAAAAAGGGTTGGATCCCTTTTTTGCCGGGGAGTGTCAATGTAGTTGAAGATTGAACTATCAATTCATGGTTGTTTGCTCAAAACCAACTTCCCCAATTTTCGCGGAGGCATCAATACGACAGTCATCATCTCATCGGTCGCTGTTCAGAAAGAAGTCAGTAGCAACCATCAGAATTAATCTTATGATTTATTATTGTAATATTTGTTCACAGACCCTCGTAAAAACTTTATTTTTATATGTTGGTGTTACAATAAAGAATTCTCAAGCGGCCAATCGGTGTTTTGGTTTTTCTTCCGTTATTACTAAGCGTTTCTGAAAAACTGCAAGGAACAGCGTGGGCCCGAGCGTAGCAAGAGCTGGGCATTAACGGTTTATGAGACGTGACTGACTGTCTGGGGCCAGCTTCCCTCTGAAATCCGACCTCTTAAACATCCCGGCGGTTTTCAATAGAGCATAGAAGAATACAACAGCATGTCCTCCCCAAGTCGCTTAAAAGACTAAAACCTCTGATGAAACAGTAACTTAAAGACAGTCCAGTCCGTCATGGTCCATTATGTGGTAACACCCAGTAATCAAAGCCGGTAAATTGGCCGATCCCCATTACCATTTCTGGTAAACATTGGAGTATTATCAGATGACCTTAACTATTCGAACTAGCTTCACTTTCCCTGGAGTCAATCCCTGACTTGGCTTTGACATCTGTTGGTTGGCAGAAGACCGGAGTGACACGACAGAAGTATTGTTGTGCATTATTTTGACGACCATTTGTAGACTTCCAGTGTATGTGTATTAACGAACTGTGAGCTTGATAGTCCAACTGCCACATAATTAACTACGATATGCCGGTTTGGTGTTGGTTGAGCAACAAATCTACTTTTCTGCCTGTGTCATATTACCAGTCGCATTGAAGTTCAGTTGGTTATTTAGTACCTAATTAGTGTTCTGAGTCCTGGATAGTTTTCTTCTTACAACGGCAATAATTCTCGACACCATTATTGACAACTTCTTAACTGGCCATTTGACGTTTTCCAATCCATTCTATTAACACTTTTAATTGCGCTATCATCATGCAGCCTTTGCCTGATAATATTACACTGTTTATGCATCACATCTCACTCCACTTTACTAAGTTTCTTTCCTGTCGTAGCACTCGGCAACTGCAGTCAGTGTTACTATTTTTGCAAAATTATCCTGATAACTGCACCTACTAGTATCACAAGCAGTATTAGTGGAGGTGACTATCGCCAGCCGAAAGCTATCCACTTTCTTATACTTCTATCAAACATTTAATTTCAAGTTTTGGTTCGCAATATGTATGTACGTACGAGGAAGCAGTAACGTCGTTGTTGCGTTACGCCATGATAGCAAGCTTTTGAGGAGATTCAAGCTCAAAACTCCGTATTCACTGTTTAGACCAAAAGTTAAGTGAATTATGATGTGGCTAACTCAGGACATCACATTTAAAGATTGCTTCCCAAGAGATCTAAGGAGGCCTAAGAGACAAGTTTCTGTCAGAAAAGACAGGACACTTGAATTTTCCGACCGTAGGCGACGATGGGGCAGTCGTTTCGTGGGCAGCTTTGACTGCGTCGGACAGATATGATGACGGTTCACCCACCAGTATTGCTCTACCAACGTCGTTTCTGTGTGACTACCGGCTATTTTTATGCAAACGCCACCACTTGTAACTGGGTTTGTGAGTCTGTTATATTTCTGTCCTTTTTCAGGCATGTATATGTCATTAACTTCACGAATTGTTCAACATCTCATTACCTCCAGGTATGTCTTATTTTTGCCTAAACGAAAATATCTTTTTGTCCATTTCCAGTATATAACCACGCTGATTTTTATTACAAGAACAGATAACATTTACTGCAAATCACCTCTGTTCTCACCATTGTAAAACCTAGACTCTTTGTCGTTAACATCGATAGTGGGAGCTAAAATGCCTGTAAGTGCAATGAAACCTAGACCAATTTTCATCAGCTTCATTCCGTTTCTTCTGCGTCATCCCACAGACTTATCGAATCCTCTAATTTAAGAGGCCATTTAAAAGGGCGAGCGCAGCGAATTGTTTGACCAACAAAACTACAGTGTATAGCAGAAAAAAGCTCGAGACTTACTAGTCGCTTTTGAAGATGTGAAATGAAGTAAAAGTTCGTCTGAACAAATTAGTGGCCATTTTCTGCAGTGTGAGTAATTCATTGGCTGTTGCAACCCGCTCATACTTATAGGTCTGTTCTATGTTTTAGAACCAGTGATAGATCAGACAGTCTTATTCGACTGGCTAAAAAGTTCCCCATAGTAGCTCTAAAAGAGGCGGGATGAATCCATTAGCACCGAGTGGCTCGAAAGATTTACAATTTACGTATTCTACTGCGGTAATTTTTAAGTTTACTGGCTGAAATCTCCTTGAAAGCGCCTAGCAGTGAAAAAGTAATTTGTTGCTAGTTCCGTCTTGAGGCTTCAATTCTGTTTAAGTCGCCTTTGGCTATTTCCTAAATTCAGCACCATCTATCCACCCTTCATCAATGGATGATGTTTGTGCTACTCGTGTGGTGAGAGATGGCTCCTAGCCAAATTGGTAGACAGTAATTTACGTCAGTTTTTATGTCTCAAACCAATACTTGAAAATTCAAATATTAGTCATGTGAAAACAAGAACAAAGACTTTGCGTAGGCGGATACAGCTAACATATGGATGATCTGACATTAAGAAACAGCCACAAAGAGATGAGGGATTAACTTTTTGTGAGAAACAGCCAATCAGAAGACTGTGTTTGTCAGCTAACAATAATCTATAATAATGTACATGAAAATCTATAAATATGTGTTGATTTTTTTAGCAAACTATCCGTTGCCTTACTCTTGCCTTGTGTCGTTACACGCACACTAGTATATACCAACCAAGAATCCATTAATATATGTGTAAAACTTGGGCACTGTGGTAGTAAGTAACTCCATATTAGTTTGTTTATTAGATGTATCACACAGTGAAACAGTATTATTCGCTGGATAAATAATAATAAATAATACTGTGTCACTATGTGATACACCTAATAAACAAACGAGAATGCATTCATTTAGTCAATCTAAGTGTTGAGACACTACTTAGTATTTCATTATACTTTGTGGGTTACATGATTTCAACTCAAGTTACTCACCTTCTGGGCAATTCGACTCTACCCGAAGGGTCCATATACGTCAGGGAATGCCGACTTCATACACTTAATATCTACACATCGAGTGGTATTCATTTTAGGACATAATACATTTCTGCGAAATTTTTAGAGTTTCGTTTCTGCTTCTTGACGCCAGTTTGCATTTGCATAGTCTCTCCTCCCCTAGCTTATACTACAGCACTGAAAAATGCTTTAGAGTAAAGTGTTACAGCAGACTGCAGCACACAAAAGCACTTCTTCAGCCTAATTCCCTACTCAACATCACGTCAAAGGGAGATAACAATAAGAATATTATTGCCATCACCTGTGTAGATTTTTAAGTCCCTGTTAATTAAACAGTTGGCTTCCTGTGCTTACTATCGACTCTGCATGAAAATAGCAATTTAATACACCACTATTCGATTTGGTAAATGTGTTGGGCTGATTTCAAGTAGCTCAACAATTCTGTGAATATGCAGTCCTCGGAAATCTATTCTGCCATAAAATATCAAGTTTAAGGAGTATCAGCAACCACCAAAGTGTCAATAATTTAAGGTTTTTGGTAACAATATTTCTCTTCCAGCAGGATGATTGAATTTTAACTGGTTTATTGATCAATGAACAGCTGTCATCATTTACATATTTGTTTGGACACAAAGGGTAATTTTCACATAGGATTTTCTTTGAACATTTCAAAAGCTATAAAGTCACTGAACTAATACTAAGGTTGAAGTTGAAGTCAACAATTTGGTATTCTGAAGTCTGTATTGTTGTGCGCGCTCATTCTGAATAATGGCGCTCATAGGTCCAAAGCTCTCAGTTGTATTGCTCCTTCTCAGTGTATGGGGCATACTCATGCTTGTAAGTTTTTGAAAAAAGGTTTTTAATTTTGACGTAGTTGTATTGTTGACTTACATGTCCTAACCATTACTCATATTCGGCATTGTAACATGTAGATACATTTCATTGATATTAATTTGCCTCTTAAAAGTCAAGTTAATATTAACTTGATTAATCATTCACTGACCCAGTTTGCTTATTTTTGTGTACAAACAATGTGTCAGATTCATTATTTCTTGGTTTCGTTGAAGCTTAAATGCTCAAAAATGTATAGTTCTGTATCGCGCTGCAAGTTTCCGGACTGAACTAATTTGAGTTCATTTGATATATTGTGGTCTAACATCAAACGGACGATTTACTAGCGAAAAACCAGCTGGCGCTGAACGTATGTGGGAACTTCTAAAAGGTGTATCCGAAGAGAGAAAATATTCTCTTCGTTTAACATCTGCAGAGCCTGAGAATGGTCCGTAAGGGAGATATACGTTTTCGTTAGGTTATTAGGTGTGAGGAGGTAAGAAGTTCATTGGTTGCATTCGCGCTACTGCGCATGTTTCAAGCGTCTAAATTTGTCCAAGAAGTTTTACTCTATTTCTCTGTTCTATTCCCTTTTCTCGGATACACCCTTAAGATGTTTGAGCAGTAACGTTATCTTAATATAACATGTGGGACTGGCGTGCAGTCGTCGTTTCTTCCCTAATCTCCTATTAATTAGATTGGAAATGATCAACTGCGATGATGAGATTTTTTTTACCTAACTCACCTTCGTTGCACTTCTGTGCATGTTTCGTGATAGTGATAGTATCTAAAGTCTTAGGCTCAATAATCATGCGTAGACTGAGTGGTGCTCGGAAGCACAAACACGAGAGAGCCAGGCAGGCTTTAGACCAGGAAGAGGGTGTATTGATCATATCTTCACCCTCCGACAGATTCTAGAACATAGGCATTCCTACCGGCGCCCAACAGTCATTATATTTCTTGACCTAAAGGCAGGATTCGACTCTGTCGATCGGGAAGTTCTCTGGAGATGCTTGGCTGTAAAGGGAATTCCAAGAAAATATATTGCACTGATTAAGGCACTCTATTCGTACTCATACAGCCAGGTGAGGGCTTACGGCGAGCTGTCATCTGAACTGGTGACGACCAGTGGTGTCCGTCAAGGATGCCCATTATCTCCTTTTCTATTCAACTTCATCATAGATGTGTTAATGGACTTAACCCTAACTCACTTCAGCGACTCAGGGATTGACTTGCTACCGGGGAATAATCTCGTTGACTTGGAATATGCAGACGATATAGTCCTTCTAGGCGAAGACGCTGACGAAATGCAGAGTCTTCTAAACACCTTGAGCCGCAATCTACGAATGTTTGGCATGCGATTCGCTCCCGCCAAATGCAAAATGATGTTACAGGACTGGACTACATCGACGCCTAGTTTAAAAATAGGAAGTTAAGTGGTAGAGCACGTTGACCGCTTCACTTATTTGGGAAGTACCATCAGCCCCAACGGGCTGATCTCTGACGAAATCTCAGCACGAATACAAGGGCCTCGTTTCGCATTTGTTAGTTTACGCCGACTCTGGCGTAGACGAGATGTTCGACTATCGACCAAAGGGCGGGTGTACTGCTCATCAGTCCGCTCCGTCCTCCTTTATGGTTGTGAGACCTGGCCACTGAGAGTGGAAGACATGAAAAGACTAGCTGTCTTTGATCATAGGTGCCTGCGCTCTATTTCCCGTGTAAAGTGGCATAATAAGGTGAGCAACATGGAGGTTAGGCGTCGAGTTCTAGGTAAACAGGGGAAATCGATCGACGAAGTCGTGAAGCTACAAAGACTGAGATGGTTAGGACATGTGTTACGTATGCCAAGCCATCGCCTCCCTCGACGAGCTATGTTAGCGGATATATGGTCAGACTGGAAAAAAGCTAGCGGCGGTCAAACAAAAACTTGGCACCAGTCAATGAAATCCACAACAGTTGGTCTAAGCCACGTAGAAAGGTGTAGACTTCCAGGCTGGGGTCCTCGGGACGGTAAAAATCTATGGTTGGAAACAATTGGTGACATGGCTCAAAATCGTTCTCAGTGGCGCAGATGCATCCACTCCCTGTGACTTATGATCTCCAATGAAACTGTTTTGTTATTCTTTATTACTCCTTTGTCTCACACCTGTGCTCACTGTTTCTATTATGCTTTTCTTGTACTTTCTTCTCTTGCTTCGCGTGCTACACGGAATGTGGCGACTTGAACTTCCGCACATTTGTGCAAAGTTCTATGTCGAAAACAGACAGACAGATAGTGATATCCATGTCTAACTATGGCGCTAGATGTTATATGTACGTGCCGCATGTACTCGTTTACGGCTTAAATTTTCCCAGACACACAATAGCGTTTTTATATATGGAGTTATATATTTGGGTAACTTATTGTCAAGCATATGGTGGCTTCAATGCCTATATTTAGTCATACATATATTTGGTGTTCAGTTTTACATACTACATCCAACATCAAACGTAAGCAGGCCAGCGGTCTACAAAGTTTTGATGCGTCCAGTCCTGTTCACAATTAACCTGCTCTACAACCGTGATACTTTAATTGGTCATTGGAAAGTAACCAGTGCCGTGTGTCTAGACCATATTGGAAGAATTCAGTCAGCAGTAATATCAGAGACTAGACAAATCCTATTAGTAGCTGACTAGATACCAGTTAATGGATGGTTTCTACTCATATTACTCTATTTGTGAAACGTTGGAATGAACTGCTTGGCATCAGGGAATTTCTGGGAATTCAAAGTAATCTAGTGTAAGTAATTTTACTAAACTCTCGGCATCTTGTAAACGCAGCCAATATTCATCCATGCCAACTGGAGGACTGGTAGCCAGTATTGTGTCTTGCCACGTTCGATACTAGCTTATCGAAACAAATGAAAACAACTCTCTCACGTCAACCTGTATAGGACGTCGTTTGTGATCATCAGCCGATCGCAAGTTAAACCTGGCATACGCTTTAGCATTGTCGAAATCCAGACAAGTGCCCCACACTTAGAAGTACCGTAGGCATCCAAGCTTTTGATAGCTGTCGAAAGTATAATCTGAACGTGGACGTTGGGCAGTACTGTGATAATGGCTATTAAAGAAGTTGGCGCTCGTTACAGTTGTGATATTTACAAAGCTGAAAAAGACTCCTTATATAGAGATAAGTTCAGGTTAATCCATTGGATTGTCGTTTCATGTGAGGCTAAATGCTAAGTTTTCAACGCGGAACTTTGCGCAAAATTGCAACAGTTTAAGTCAACACACTCCATAAAGCACACAAGGATAGAGAAGAAATCTAAAGGAACTATAATAAACGGAAATGCATTTGAGAAAGAAGAGTTACATGGAGAATAATGAAAATTTAAAGGATATAGTGATTCTTAAAGGGAAAATACGTATGCACCGTAATGTTGCCGACAGTCTGTAGCCATCGGTTCTTAACATCTTGACGATCCCAGCCAGACAGTCTTCACCTTTTTGCGTGGATCAAACCGACAAAAACTTCATGGATTGATGTCATGTTTTAATTTAACCACTCTTAACTCTTTCCCAGCCTAATCCTATGCTGGCTAACATTGCTCGATGAGGAAGAGGATAGTTTAGCATGCTCAACACTTATCCCAGCCATCTCTTCGACTGAACTGCCTTCCGTACCTAACACTTCACTCGTCATATTATGCCACTTAACACGGGAGAGCAAACGTAAGCACTTATGGTCAAAGACAGCTCACCTCTTCAAGTCTTCCACTTTAAACAGCCCTAAACAAGGGTAGAGTAAACTGCTGCTCAGTATACATCTCCTTTGGTTGATAACCAAATATCCCTTCTTCTCCAGAAATGATGTATCTTGGCTAATTCTATGCGGGCGTTTTGTATCTATGCTGAGATTTCATCAGCAATTAGTCTATTGTAATTGATGCGATCATTTTACAAATAAGTGAAAATCGTCAATATACTCATCCACTTCACTCTCTATCTCTAAACTAGTAATCAATGCAGATAATTTCTGCATTATCATCTTACATTTGACAGGAGAAAATTGCATGCCAAACATACCAAGGTTTCTGCTCAAGATTTTTAGAAGATTATGTATTTTATCAGCCTCTTGTCGTAAATTACTCGAAATGTCGTTATATAAGTATTGTTCCAGTGGTCAATTACATAAGTCTATCTCATTATGATCCTAGCACTGTGTACATTTCCTCCCATCTTCGTCAGATATGCTTTTTAACTGGTGTGCACTTTCAATTCATCTTACAACCTAAAGTTTTCTAAACACTAAGGATCGCGTATTTTTTGATATTTCGTCGTCAAAGTAGAATTCTTCATGTTTCAAAGTACACTTTATTAACTGTATTAGATTTCACAAGATATTTTTTTATTTCCTTCACGTTCCCAGTGGAAGATAGGGCTTCAAGCTAGAGACTTGAAGTTTCTGTAGTAGTGTTTATTTTACAGGATGGGGTTGCTAGCCTCATGCCTAACCTTCCCTCTTTACCAGTCTTATTACTGGATAAGTAAGGTAAAGGAGTGCGTCTGTGGCCGGAGATTGAACCCCGGACCATGTGCATGGTCGGCGAGCATGCTAACCGCTGTGCCACCGACGCACATTTCACAAGATATACGAAGGAATAAAAGCAAGCAGAATACTGTGATCGCATAAAATCCTCTAGTATCGTTATAGATATAACAAGCCAACCAGAATTTCCCTAATCCACTCGAAAAACGCTTTGAAATAGTTCGTAAAACAACAATAGCGCAGAAAACTTTACTGACATCTTGGTAGAGTTGTAACGGTAGAGGATAAGTGAATTTGGAAAGGACTTTTATTCAGGAAAGACGTATCCATTTCTAAGTACATTAAAAGTCGGCTAGGTCACTGACAATAAATTGTTCTGATTGTTTAGTAAGTAACCCAAGGTGAATCAAGGTTGTCAAATGAGGTCATTTCATAACCACAGCGTAAGCTAAGTTGGGATTTGAGGGATAAACACTTCCACCTATGCAACGATTGATTTAGAATGCTGATTTCAATTTTAACAGCTTCTTATCAATCTGCATTAATATATATGTATATATATATGCTACGTATAAATCTTGTCGGTAGCACATGCCACGTGGCAGCTACTTCTATGCATTGTTACAAGTCAGCAATGGGTTGATGCATTAAATTCAGGTATTATACTCCATTTGCACTTCACTTTTCTGCCCAGTACTTCAACACTTTCAGACGCTTCTGAGCTAATCAGTTATTCATGAATATTTATCAGTATTGAATTATAATTATGTCAATATTACATTTATTTTTGTTTAGTATAAAATAACATTCCTCTATATTATCCCTTTCCTTTTTTTCTCTTAATGCTTTTGTTTTTTAACAGCTTCTTATAGGTGTTTTTGCTCGTGTAAATGCAGTCGCCTTCTCTGAAGATATACCATTGAATGAAACAGCCTGGGCAGCTAGTGGATATGCTCCATTGCATGTAGAAGAAGCCTATGTCCTAGTGTCGAATAACTGCTTTATCGCCGCTGGCATATATGTTGTCCTACTGGTTTTCTCCGGCGTTCAATATTATTTCAACAAACGTGCCAATTATTTAGTTCATTGAAAATATCTCACACAATTCTAATCTATTCTATTCAACACCTATCTATATATGCATAATAATAATATTTGTCTTTCTTTTTTCTCCTTTTGTTGTTGATCTGTGTTTTTTTTACTAACTTTAATGAATCAGAATTACATTACTAACTGCTATTCACTAGCCAGCCTAACCAATTAACTCGGGAGTGGGTGGGTGGGTGGACGGGAGAGAGGAGTTTTTACGTGATTTTTAATCCAACATTTATAGAGAAACACTATTTAAAACATCATTTTAAAGTGTACTATCTTCTCCTGTCACACAATATTTTAGTATATTTATTGATAAAGTGTGTTTGTGAGTGAGTGAAACACATTTCCTAATGATCATAGTACAAAGCTCTTGTTACCTAACTAATTAATTCATTAATTAAGACAAAGCGAATGTGATTGAGTGTGTGTGTGCGTGAGTGCTACCTGCATAATTAAATATAGAAATTTGCACGATACTTGTCTTTTTGCTCGTGCGCTCGCCCTCTCGCTGTCTTGTTGTTTCTCCTCTTATGCTATCTTATCTATCTGTCCTTTCGAGTTGGTATTCACAATGAATACGATAAAAAACTTATTAGTTATAGGAAGCAAGATTTTGAAAGCACTTTTGTATATGAATGTATGTATATCAATTTATATATAAGCACAGATTTACAATACTAGTTTTAATATTTGTTAGATCACGAATGTTATTGTATATTTATTGTATTTATATATATAAACACGTCTACATTGGTAGCACGTACACACACACAAACAGGCACACAAGACAAAAAAAACAAAGAACGAAAGGGCGAAAACACTTCACATTCAATGATAATATATCACACAACAATAGTAGCAATAGTAGTAGTATTAATAGTTTAGGTACATTATGAAATATTAAAGTGAAAATTAACAAAAGAAAGCGATCAGGTTGTGGATGTGTGTGGAACTCAAAGTAGTAATAATAATAACACTGGTTCGGGGGGGGTAGGTTTGAGTTCCTGATCTGCATTACATATATATATATATATATATATAATATGTATTAATGTATACGAAGTACAGGGTTAAACTTGAATCACATAATCAAAAGATGGCGCTGTTTTTTGTCCGTTGAAATATTATATTAACTGGTATAATTAATATTCTTGACCTTGTGTTTAGTCAATAAACAATAATAATAGTGGTAATACGATGAATGAAAGTTATTCATTATTGAAATTTATATGATATTTTCAATTGTTGTACTATATATATTATTCAATAATGACACAAGGTAATTTAAACAAGACAAGACGACAGGTGTGTGTGCATATAGAAAAAGTTCCGCTGTATATTAAAGGGTTTATGGGTGTGTGTGTGTGTGTTGAAAGGGAATAATAATCTGAGACGAATCATTGAATGAGACCAAAACAAAACGGAAAGAAAACCCCGACAACAACAAATAAAAAGAGAAAGTAGTTCTTGTGTATACATGCATACATACATCCATATACGCACACACATATGTGCGCATATATGTGTGATGTGCTGTGGTTGTCGTAATAGAATAATATTACATATATATGTATATACGCAGTGTAGGAATGATTTAAAAGTTTTTTCGTTTATTTATTTTCTTCAAATTCTTACAATATTTCCATTTGTGTTGTATAATCAAGAGAGATAACAACACAGGCGAAAGAGGCCATATATGTCTATATGCAACAATAAACCTGGTACAGTACATACACGGAGAGAAAGGGGTGTGAGGTAGGTAGTTAGCTGTATTTTAGCATGTATTGCGTAATAATAGGGAATAAAATGTGTGGGTGGGTGTATGTGTGCCTGTATGTAAATTTAGAAACACATATTATTAATAATGTATAAGAACTACAACCCTCATTCTGTTGGTTTGTAGGTAAGAAGAAAATGTACAAATTGTCTATTTTTAAGTGTTGTTTTTACTTTTGCCAATGTTCACTGAAAAGATCTTGGATCAGAAGAGGAGGAGAAGCAGAAGAAATGAGGAAGTAAGACAAATGTATACATACACACAAATATGTATATATATATATATATAATGAAATGACGATCGTTTACAAACAGCTTCCATTGCTCTAGCATGCTTTGTTTTCAATAAAGTATCTGTTGTTGTGTCATGTGAAGCCACACTACAAGCTGATTTATTTTGAATAATAGAGAAACCTGAACAGTAGAAATGTACCATAATAGTTAGTTCTGATGGAATGGCGCTAAAAGCAATTAATGTCGGCGCTTTATCTTAATTCTTTTCAAATTGTTGTGATTTACTACCGAAAGACATATATATCTACGTGTATAACACTGCGAGAATATAACTGATCTTTTGGCCTATTTTATACGGCATCATTACTTTCATTATTTAAAAGTGGTACACTGTGTGTTGTTCGTTCAATATTTTGGTCTTTTAATTCAATAGGTGTGATTATCTCAGATGAGGCTGATCTGCTTCTTGGTGGTGGTGGCGGCGTTGTTGTTGTTGTCTGGTTTGTATGTGACAACGACAAGACAAGTGGTTCATCATTTCTCTCCAATATACGATTTTGAAATGAATCATCAATGAAATTTTTTGCTAGATCAACTTCTGATCCAGATTTTATAACTTGTTCATCATTCATAGATTTTACACAGTTTATACCGGGCTTGGAGGCAAGGCGATTGGTAGTAGTAGTAGTATCATCTGACTGGTATGAATTCAATACTAATTGACTTTGAATGAATAGATCATTTGATTCCAACAGATATGGAAGAATTTGAGCGATTGATACTGAGCCAAGTAAATCTATGTTATACAAATAACAAAGTAAAAGTTTAATAATAATAACTTAAGCAATAATGTTACCCATGAATGGAATATGAGTTATGAAGAAAAGAAAGTATGCTTAAGATAAAAAAACCAGTGAATACCATACCAGTTTACTTGCATTCCTATCTATACGTTCCCCCAGTGGAAAATAAGCCTTCAAGCTTGAGCCTTGAAGTTTCAGCGGGGGTTGGGTTACTAATCTCACGCTCAATATCACTGTCTTTACCAGGCTTGTAACGTGTTAAGGCAGATGAAGGTGTGCACAGGCCGGGAGTCGAGCTCTGGGCCAAGCTTATGGCTGGTGAGGATTCTATCGCCGACGTGCCCACCATACCAATTACAAAGGTATTATACTTTCTTACAATATATTATAGTTAAATATTTATATTCACTAATCCACTTAGAAATTCGTAGCTCTGCTTGAATCACTTCATGTGTACAAAGACTTCAAATGTAAATTTACTCTAGGGCTGCGTTCTTAACGCAGAAACGGTAGACTTTCACTGAAAAAAAAACAAATCAGCTGCTAGGATTATTTATTTTTATCCTGAGTTTCCTAAATACTTAGAAATAACCAAAAAAGTGATTGCTGACAACTCTTTCATTCTATCAATCGACTGAGGGGGGAGTTGGTATATTACTTGCGGGTTTTTGCATCACTTCTGTCCATATTCTACTCTTGAATTTCATGTGCTGTTAGAGACATCTCAATAGTAAATATTCTGTGAAGATGGTGATTTGTTTATATTTGTACACCTTACCGACTGACTAACAGGTTTCAACGTAGAACTTTGCACAGATATGCAGCAGTTCGAGTTACCACACTCCATTTAACGCACTTTCAATGGCCATGTCTCGCTCACAGCCATAAAGGAGGACAGAGCGAATTGCTGACCAGTACACACACCTTTTGGTCAGCAGTCGGATATTACGTCCACGCCTCAGGTGGCGTAAGTCGGTATATGCCAAACGAGCCTTCTGTATCCGTGTTGAGATCTCGTCACCGATCAACTCGCTGGCACTAGCTGATGCAACTCCCCAAATAAGTGAAGTGGTAAACACGCTGCACCAACCATTTCACTCCGTATCTTTAAGCTAGGAGTCAATGTAGTCCAGTCCTGTAGCGTCATCATCTTACATTTGATGGGAGCCAGTGGCATGCCAAACATCAGCAGATTGCAGCTCAAGGTGTTTAAAAGACTCTGCATTTTGTCAGCGTCTCCACCTGGGAACAGGACTATATCATCTGCATGTTCTGAGCCAACGAGATTATACCCTGGTAACAAGTCACTACCTGAGTCGCTGAAGTTACTTTAGTGTTTAGTCGATTAGTAGTACACCTGTGAATAAATTGAACATAAACATAACCACTGCAGATGACAACTCTCAAGTGGCTGCATGAGTTCGAGTAGAGTCCCCTGATCAGTGTGATGTACACCCTAGAGATATGACTAGATCATAAAAGACAGACATATGGCAAGTCTGTCCTTATTAATATTACCCAGATTTAGATGTGATAGAGAAGATTTGTAGCTCAGGTGGATGATTTTGATGTGGTTGTGTTCGCTGAGCTGGATCGTTAATTTGCGAAGCTTTCATCGCCCTACTGGGTGACATCTTCAGCGCATACTTCAATTTGAATTGAGCTTTTAGATTTCTCCACGAGTTTATTAATCATCTCTCCTGGTGACCTTGGACATGATTGGTTGTTTTTGTGTGTGTTCACACCTTCTAGGTTACTTGTATTGGAACTGATTGTTTCTTTGACTTCAACTTTGACCCTTTGTGTGTGAGGGTCAAAGTTCAGTAATACAACTGAACATTTCAATCAATAGTGCATAGTTTTATGCATTGATGCTAGGCTGGTTGATTATCATTTATGGTATCAAGCAGGTCACAACATATTGTGATCTGCAGTCTCCAAAGGAAACTTGCGGAGTGGAATTTCACCTCCTCGAGCTGTGCACAATTCGCAAATTTGACTTATCATTTTCAAATTTGAATTTTATGCTCTTCTGAAACAGTTTCCAGAAGTGGAAATCAATACACTATAGCCTGCCGACGTGACGAACACTATAAAACGATCTGTTTACATAGATTCGACAATATCTTATAACTATTACACTTTCCGTTGCCTGTAATATTAAAAAAGACACTTAGTTAAGTGTTTGTTTAGACGAATTCAACACGTATGTACCGAGGATGTTGTGTGGTGGGGTGCGAAGAGAAACGAAATTTCACCATATTATTCGCTAATTGCTATCCAATAAAACTGTTCACACTGTCGGTATTTCGACGATAGATAGTGTCGCATCTCACTGCGCTTACACAGTTTGCCGTGCATATGTAGTGACACATACATACATATGCAGGACCTATTGGTTTCTCCATGTTAGGACTTCAGGACACAAAGGATAATGGTGGCAACAGCAAAATCACCAGACTTGAATGACCATGGAAATCGACGTTTAACATTACCTGCCTCAAAGTATACCACATAAGGACGGGTAATACACTTGGTTTCAAAACATTTTAACTTCTATATACCAAAGTCTGTTGATGCCTAAAAGGTATTTTATGTTCACAGGTTATCTTTTTATTGCACTGAACTTCCCTCATCAATTCAGTTATTAAACTGAAGATTGATCTATTTTGATAAATCGCACAGTGTTTACAGTTATATGAACTGATGACGTTTCGAGCACAATTTATTGCTCATAATCATATCAATCTTATCTATAATGGAATTATACTCTACCACAGTGCCCAAGTTTTATACTTATATCGAAGATTGATCTACCCCACCTTTTTGAAGTTGATGTTTTGACTTCCACAGCCTTCAATTTTGACTTTTTTTATACTCTGTTAACTTTTATATAGTTTTATATATGACAGTTAGACATGTAATCATAGTGTCTTAAATGCTTTGTACCAATGCATTGTACGTGTCAAGTAAATTATTACTCCATCACGTTCATGATTGTATAATCTGAAGTAAAATTGATCGGTCAATCTAAAGAACAGCAATAATAGAGTGCACGAATAAATGACCTTGGATGCAATGCATACTATTCGTTGGACTATGGAATCCCCCGTTGTTATTGTTAGTACTGCGCCAGTATGAACTCTGTGCACGAATTGATGTGCAAATTTCATTCTGATCTCAGTTTTAAGTACTATTTGGACAATTGGTTGGTCAGTGTTAGGTCTAAGGTAAGGATTAGGGTGGGGTGAGAGCTCTCTGCAGTTTACGTCAATGTTCATGTCCCGAATCGGGGTCATGGCAGAAAATAATAACAAAGCTTCACGTTGAGGAATTCACCAACCAATCACAGCAGACTTAACGTGTGTAAATACGATTCGCGGATATATGGCGCAACTTTCTAAGAAACGGTCACTGGCAATACAGAATAACCTTTAGCAAGAAAACAACCAATCAGAAGACGTTGTTTCTCTGATAACAATAACACTGATAATAATGTACATAGAAATCTATAAATATCTCTTGATTTTCTCAATAAAGGATCTGTTGCCTGGCCCTTGTCTTCTGTCGTTACACGGGTATTTCAGTATTATTATTACTACTACTATTATTGTCTGTATTTTTCTTATAAATGAATACGGGGAAAGTGTTTCGTTGTTTATATAGGTGAAATAGTTTCGATAGCCATGATGAAACTTAAAAACTGATAGTCTTCATTGTAATTGGGAAATTATTTTCCAGCCATATTTGGGTAAAATATCATCTTCACCGTTATATAGTGTTAACTTGGCTCGTAAATAGACGGTGCGTTCTATAGTCCAACGAATAGTGTGGCGTTCAAAATCGCTACTGGTGAGTTCGCACTACGTGTTTACCAGCTGATCGAATTGATGAAACACACACAATTAGTGAAAACGTTGAGTAATCAGAAAAACAATGAGATAAACAGAATTGACAATAAAATTTAAAGACTAATCAGTCCGCAAAATGTGGTAAAACATCTTGTATTATCACTCTCAAGTTTGTGTGGAGATCAGCAGCACTCCTCACAGCCTGCAAAATAAGATCCGGATTTTCAACTCCAGTGTGAAGTGAGTGCTACTTACTATACGGATGAGGGACTTGGCGCCACACCGCGTCACGAAGACCACTTCCAACAAACTACAGACCTTCATCAACAGCTGTCTTCGCTCAATACCACTCAATATCAGATGGCCGGACAGAAAAGATCAGCAACAGGGATCTCTGGGAGCGAACCAACCAGGAACCGGTTGTGAAAGAAATAGGCAGGAAGAATGGAGGTGGATTTGTCACACTGAGGAAACCATCAAGCCCTCGAGTGGAACCCGAAAGGGAAGCGGCGAGTTGGTCGTCCAAGGGTGACTTGGAGGAGGTGGTGTGAAGAGGAGATGAAAGCATGTGGGCAGACTTGGAGCCAGGTGAAAACTGTAGCAGAGAACCGAACGCAATGGAGACGCGCGACTAAAGCCCTATATTCTTCTAGGAATTAAAGGAAATAATAATATAATGAAGAGAATAAAAGGGACGATTCAGCGAAGAAAGTTTTCTTTATTGACGAAATCATCTTCAGAGTGGCTGTACAGCCAGTTGTATTTATATTTACCAAAAATGTATAGTAGTCTGTTATTGAGCAATGGAGGGCGTGTGTGTGTGTGACATAAATGATATAATTATTCAGAAGTGGCTTTAGAAGTAAAAATAAAAGTTGTAAATTACGTGGTACTCAACGGCACAAAGGAAGAAAGTGTTAGACATTTGTTAGGGTTAAGATTGCTAGTGAGAGAGAAGGAAGGTAGTTGGGCGCCAACTTAACAAGTATGAAGGGTGTGAGAAAATGTACATATGAGAGTGATAATAGTGAAATAATCATTAAAGTAAAATTTAAAAAACAAAATTTCTTAAAGGGAATGACTGGTGAAGAGGTTAAGATTATGGTAGAATAAAAGATTGGACAAACCTTTTCTGTCTACAGAGTTGGGGGTTGTATTGACGAATTACCGATTCACTAGGCATTTCCTGTAAAAAACGTTCATTTTTTAATTTCACTTAATTAACTAATTCAATATTATCACTTTCATATATTCCTTTCGTACATTTTCAAACCCTCTTCACACTTGTTAAGGAGACGCTCAAGTACCTTTATTTTCACTCAATAACAATTTTAACCTTATAAAATTTCCAACGCTTTCTTCCTCTGTGCCGTTGAGTATTGCGTAATTTTCAGCTTTCATTTTTTACTTTGAAGCCACTTCTGAATAAGTAAGTATATCAGTTATGTCACCCTCCCTCCCCCTATTACTCAATAACAGACTTATACATTTTTGATAAATATGAGTACGACTGACTGTACGGCCCGTCTAAAGATGATTTCATCGATAAAGAAAAATTTTTCTTCTCTGAATTATCCTTTTTATTTTCTTCATGACTCAATGGGTATTTTTCGGTGATTTGAAACTTGTGTAACAACAGAAGACAAGGGTCAGGCAATAGATCGTTTAATTAAGGAAACCAACACGTATTTATAGATTTTCATGTACATCATTATAGATAATTGTTAGCAGAAAAACATAGTCTTCTGATTGGTGATGGCTTCTCACTGAAAGTTAATCTTTCATCACTTTGTGGCTGTTTCTTGAATGTCAGATCATCTATATGCTAATTGTGTCCGCCTACGCAAAGTTTGCTGTGATTGGTTGTTGAATCAGTCTTTCTTCTTATTTTTCCACGACCAATATTGAGGACGTAAATTACTGTCTACCAATTTGGCTAGCGTGCGTCGGTGACATAGCGGTTAGGACGCTCGCCAACCATGCACATGCTCCGGGGTTCGGTCCCCGGCCACAGACGCATTCCTTTACCTCGCTATGCCAGAAATAATGCTGGTAAAGAGGGTAGGTTGGGCTTGAGGCTAGCAAACCCATCCTATAAAAATAATCACCACTGCTACAGAAACTTCAAGCCACTTAGCTTGAAGCCCTATGTTCCACTGGGGAACGTGAAGGAATTTTGGCTAGCAGCCAGCTGTCATCACACTTGTATTATATTTATTTTACTAATGGCATGGAAGTCATTACACGGGGTAAGATTTTTAAGCAGTTCTAAATTCTAGTATTATAATAGTTCAATATGCTTGATACAGATTTACACAGTGAACTCGGTTAGATGGGATCTTTTCACACGCACTGGTTATCTGTGTGTGTGTGTGTAACAGTCCACGAAAACTAAAACAATGGTGTCTCTTTTTCTAAGAGTTTAAATACACACACACCAATACAGACAAATGGATTACACAGGAACTTAGCTACCCTTTGGGTTAAAATCAGCTATGTAAATAGCTTAGATGGTGGTGGAAAATAACACTGAATGATTAAAAGGTATTAAAACATTTCAACACTAAAACAACAATCTCACTTGAAAAGAATGCCTCTTCTAAATCTTTTGGATCTAAATAACGAAGTGTTGATAATAATTGTGTTAGGATAAGAACTCTTTTAATAACATTTTTTGTCATCTTTTTTCTACTCAGTGATGATGATGATTGAGAACCAGTAGGATTTGATGAGGAGGAAGCTGTTGCTGCGCGTGTTGACAAGAAATCAGAAAATTCACTCAATACACGTGATTCCATCTCAGTAATTTGTTTGGCTAAATTTGCATCTCTTGCATTGATACAAAGACGTCCTAAAGGAGAGAGAGAGAGAGGTGAAAATAATACATCTTAATAAAATAAATTAATAATAATAATGGTAAAGCTTTATTTAAGACAGTATGCGAATATACGGTACAAAAATTTTCAGCGTATTCATTTCCAAATTACTTTTTTCTTCACAAAGGATTCTGTCTGTCTGTCTGTTTTCGACATAGAACTTTGCACAAATGTGCGGAAGTTCAAGTCGCCACACTCCGTGTAGCACGCGAAGCAAGAGAAGAAAGTACAAGAAAAGCATGATCGAAACAGTGAGCAGAGGGGTGAGACAAAGGAGGAGTAATAACGAAGAACAAAACAGTTTCATTGAAGATCATAAGTCACAGGGAGTGGATGCATCTGCGCCACTGAGAACGGTTTTGAGCCATGTCACCAATTGTTTCCAACCATAGATTTTTACCGTCCGAGGACCCCAGCCTGGAAGTCTACACCGTCCTACGTGGCTTAGACCAACTGTTGTGGATTTCATTGACTGGTGAAGCCAAGTTTTTGTTTGACCGCCGCTAGCTTTTTTCCAGCCTGACCCTATATCCGCTAACATTGCTCGTCGAGGGAGGCGATGGCTTGGCATACGTAACACATGTCCTAACCATCTCAGTCTTTGTAGCTTCACGACTTCGTCGATAGATTTCCCCTGTTTACCTAGAACTCTACGCCTAACCTCCATGTTGCTCACCTATTATGCCATTTACACGGAAATAGAGCGCAGCACCTATGATCAAAGACAGCTACATGTAAAGTAATAATCTGAAGTATATCTTCATTTCGTTGAAGAATTGTACAGCGTTTACTTGGGAGCAACTTAAATCATCGCGCAAGTTTATGTATAGATCATTTGATATAACTGCATGATTACAACAATGACAAATCCAGATGAAATTAAGCATTTTGGAGGAAAGTAATTTCGGTAGCCCAATGATTTAAGCAGGCCACCTTATGTGTATTAAATTTCAAGTCAGTGGTTGAATGGCGGTCAATGAGCTGACCTCATAACCTGAAGGTTCTGGGTTCGATTCTCGCTGGAGGTATCAGTGCTTCCTTCTAGAGAGTCCTGAACTAGGACAAAACAGCTCTCCCTCGTTCCTAACTGATGTCGGTTCATGACGAAATCTTGGTTATCACAGGAGATCTCTCAGTTATATGTATCGTATGAGGGAGCTTTCCGGATTAGAATTCATTGGATTCCGGCGCAATTGGCTGAATGGCCAACGAACTTGACCTCGTAACATGAAGGCCCTTAGGTTTGATCCCTAGCAGTGGGATCGTAGGTAAGTACTAATAAAGAGTCCTAAGCTAGGATGGAACAGCTATCCAGTGCTCCTCCTTAGTCAGTTCTCAGTGATTCTCTAACTGAAAACAATCTGCGATTAAATTCTTACAAACTAACTCTAGATATATGCTTCGATAGATAATGCTTAACTATCTACTAAGACATATTACGAACCAGTTTATCTTTTATTTTATTATAGCTTGATTCCACACAGTATATTGGTACAAGTGTGGAATTTTCAGCGTGTGATATCCGTAGCCAAAATTTAGCAGGCCGGCCATTGATATCATGTGTGCGTCGGTTGGGGATCGAACCCAGGACCATGTGCATTGGTCGGTAAGCGTCCCAACCACTGTGCCACCGGCGCACAATAATTGGGCTATGGAGTTGATCAAAGCCAGCTATTATCGAATTGAGGCATGTACTTAACACCGCTCACAATATAATATATATATATTAGTTTGTGTTTGACGACTTCAGGACGATTGATATGCAGTTTAAGATTAGTCATAAATTATCCTGTCTCTACTAAATAATATCATCCTAACAAATTGTCTTGAACTAAATCCATCTAAATATCATATTCTTAATTTTAGTTTAGGCTTGGGTGGACTGATTCAGTTCCATGATTGCTATAATATTGACGGCATTGTGTGAGAGGGAGTAAATCGAGTTTATCTCATCTCGTATCAGTTTCTCCTCGAATCTGCGTTGGTCGTCTCATATCTTGTTGATTTCTAAGAAAAAGTTTTTGTTCAACTTACTACATAAAGAAGTTGAGACTTTCTGCTAGCAAAACTCAACCTCTTCTCTTACAATTTGTTAATTCATGTATTCTGCCGATTCTCCCTTATTGTTCATCATCATCCGTCCCTGGCTTCTAAAAAAAGACCATGTCATATTACGTAAAACACTGAAGGCTGTAAGTAGGGTTATTTGACTCAGCTAACTAACATTATTGTCAATAGGCACTTCAGTTCTTGCAACCATTTGGCTAAAGTTATCTTGTCTGATAGGTTAGAGTGATGCTTTTTTGTTCCTTCGCGTTCCCAGTGGAACATAGGGCTTCGAGATAGAGCTTTGAAGTTTCAGTTACAGTGGCGTTTATACAGGGTGGGGTTGCTAGCCTCACGATCAACCTTCCCTCTTTGTCAGGACTGTAACCGGCTAAGGTTAAGGTGTGCGCTGGCCGGGACTCGAACCCCGGGCCACGTGCATGGTCAGCCAACGCTCTACCTCTGAACCACTGACGCACCGTACAGTAAAATTAAGATATCTGGGCAAGACAAGCTATAGCACTGGGCCACTTCAACATGCATATACCAGTTTACTTGCTCTTGCAGAAATGAGTACATTGGCCGTACCATGCGCCAACTTGAAAAACGCGCTCATGAACATTATCCAGCCTGGCTAGAAAAAGGTGAACGAAAACGTGTGTATAGTTCAGTGACAGAAAATCTAGTCGATTCAGCGCCATTCGAAAAATCCCTCAAAATAATATACAAGATTCGATCAAACCTATCAAAGGGAGTAGAATCAAGACATCTGAGCATACCCGATGCACTAGCCATACAAAAGCTCAAACCCACACTATGTATCCTAAAGAAATACGTCCAACCCTTGTCTCTGCCATGGCCATCATTAACAGGTAATTCTATTAACAATAACTATCCCATCGGCATTCTTATCCAAGCTTCCTGTTTATTCATGTTATTTTACTATTCCCACCTATTTAATCCCTGATTGCATGAACAAGTATTCGTCACATTAGTTATGATCCCACTAGATTTTGTTATCCAAACATCCTGTCTGTTGTTGCTATTTCTACATTTCTAACCCCTAATTGCACAATCACGTCAATCTTTTCAGTAATTATGATGCTACTTTGTTTGAGTTTTATCCGTCCCCCTGTTTTATTATGGCATTTTAATTCCTAATTGTAATTTTAATAATTTCACCCATGACCGGAAATTATTCTGGAACTTTCCCATCCATTTATTATCATAAACACACGAATGTACAGCCTAGCTGACGGTGACTTCGTCGAAAAGAAAATTTTCTTCGTTGCGACTGTCTTTTTACTATTCCCTATCATCAAATACATATATATGTTGATGGATAATATTTATTGGTTTATCAGAGCTAAAACCTCGTCTACCTTCTAATTTACTAGTCAGTCTCCTCTAGGACTAGAAAACAAAACGGAAGGTAGGGGGAGTTGCTGGCGTTCACGATCCTCTACCCTGGAAAATTTAATCCAATCACTACAGGAACTTCAAATCACACAGAAAAGAGGAAAAATTAAAAAAAAAACACTTACCAGAGCTAAGTATAACCATACACCTTAAATAAGTATATTCCTGCGCGTCAATTTCAGCTCCAGTGAATTGTTTCATTAATTGTTCAACTAATTCTATCACAGCTAAAGATGAAGAACTCGGTTTCAAATATGGCATATCTATAGATTCTAGCATTGGTGAAATATATACTGTTGATGAGTCCACGTTATTACTGGATTTCATAGAAGAACTTGTTGCAGTTGCAGTAGAAGAAGGACACGGTGAAGCTGTTTGTTGTCTTCCAAAAACTTTTGTTACATTTACTGAATAATCGTAAAGAATAGTAAACAGTAAGTGAATAGTGTGATATTTAGTAAAGGTCAAAAAGGAAACTAAGATTATAAACAAATATCCTGATTCAAATGTTGGTTTGTGGGGTTTGATTGGTTACAGGATTTCATCATGAGCTGACATTAGTTAGAGAACCATTGGAAAACCTGGGAGTACTGGACAGCTGTTTCGTCCCAGTTCGGGACACTTCGTCAGTACGCACCCACTGGGATTCGAACCCAGGACCTTCTGGCTACAAGGCGAGCTCGCATACCATTAAGCCACTAGGACCCGATCGCCTTGTAACCGGAAGGTCCTGGCTTCCAACCCCGGTGGGTGCGTACTGATGAAGAGTCCCAAACTAGGATGAAACAGTTGTCCAGTACTCCCAGGTTTGGCAATGGTTATCTAACTAATGTCAGCTCATGATGAGATCTCTAAATATCCTGATTATTTAACACAAAAGACACAGTTAATCAATACCTAAGAAAATCTCAAAATAATCAGCTTGTCAGTATTTATCACTACCTTGTCAAATCCCCGCTGAATCTTGGGGATTACTACGAAAAAAATCAACTGAAAGTGTAAAAACAATCGTTCGAAAAGGAATTTGATTGAGGGTAGCGCGCTGTATCACTCACGAGTTGACAAATTTAGGATTCATGGATTATTGAATTCCAGCCCAAATAGTTGAATCGTCAACGGGCTTGACCTCGTAACCTGAAGTCATCCGTGGTGGGGGTCGTGGGTGTGCACCGCTGAATAGTTCTAGGCTAGGACAAAACAACTGTTCAGTGCTCCCTGGTCTATCAATGATCTTTAATGGATGTTGATTCGTGACCAAACTTACATTCAATTAACTATATCAGCCAAGATTAGTTCAAGAACTTTCTTTCTAATAACGTTATCAACTAGGCTGTACAGTACTCCATAATATATAGTGAAAAAATACAGAGAGAAAAGTTGTTTTTGGTTCCATAATAGAATATCTTATTAAGTCAGAGCATTGAGTTCTCCATTTGAGAAATCCTTCGAAAACACACAAGGTACGACAAAGACTTTTAAAGGCAGTTAAATCAAGAAATCTGGGTATAACTGAAGCATTAGTTAGTAATCCAAAGACACAAGTCACTTCAGTGTTCAGAAAACAAGGCATATCTGCAATCTTGAGGGAATTCATGCCCCCTCTTGGATTCGAATCCCAGTCAATCAGTGCTGCTGTAGTCAGAGTGGTTACCACTGGCCACCTCTTATGCAACTGTAATGGATACTTTGACTGAACACTAGGTAGTGTCTAATTTCATGTGTCTAGTCCTTTGTCTAATGGAGACTTAACTCTAACATTCAAGTTTGCAATGTGACCACCATGCCACAGGTGGGGTTAGCGATCAACGCTGCATGCTATCTGCATCAATGCCCGTATGCTTTCATTTCCTTACATCCCAGCAAAAATGAGAATTTATTACTTTGACTACTGTGTATTATTTAAGTAGCAGAGAGAGAAACGTCACTTATTTTATGATCATCAGCATTTCCGGTTATGATATTGATGGACTTACCTTTTCCAGTATTATTATCATTTTGTGAGTCATTTAATTCCTGACGTGATTGACCACGATTAATTTGATCAGCTGCTTGACATAATCCAAGTACAAAAAGGTCAGACCAAGAAATAGCTACCAAATCACGTTGAGCTCCAATTCTGGAAAATAAAAATGAAAACAGAAATCCGAATTGATGTAATTATTATTATATGTGTATAAGTGTGGTTAAGATAATCATATTATGATATGCTAGTCGATCAACATCGTTATAAGTGCTTGGTTAACTTGTGTTTCGAGATTATAGCGAAACTCATTGATATTCACATTGACATAATCACTAACTCAGTCGAGACGCTATTTAAAATTGACAAGCGTGAATAAACATTCCTAGCACCTTCAATCTATGGGGTTGAAATAACTCACCATAGTTGTCTTTCATGTGCTAGGCTGTGAGACACACTTCTTAATCTATGAGGGCTGATGGTACCATCTAGGCTGAAGTAGGTAGAGTGTAGGATTCAGATCCGGTACCCATTGGTTGGAAAATTAGTAGCGTACACGAATTAGCTACGTCATCGGTGAACAGAAATAAAGGAGTGGTTATATCATGAGTATATATCATTTTCAATATTACTAAGAAGCATTATCATTCTGTCAGTAGGCTAAACATTTACAATCACCGATGGAAGACATATTTTACAACAATTTCAAAACCAAGTCAAGTATATTGATATCTTATGATCTGGGCCGATCAGATGATCAATAATCAACCCCTCCTAAAACTCTACACATCATCATCGAAGAGAGCGTAGAATGGCAGCTAAATTTCATTGACTTTGAAAAGGGTTTCGACAGGGTTGACTGGAAACTGTTTCAACACTATGGTGTCCCTCGAATATTTATCAACTTCAGTCAACATGTTTATGACTCACAACAGAAACTGCAGTGAAGCGTTCGAAGTGAGACGAGGCTGCCCTACTATCTACTGATGATATTCTTGATTGTGACGGACTGGATTCTGTAACAGGGTGTGGGAAGTCAGGAATACGCTAGACGACCGATAAGAAGACTCTAGAAGATTTGGATTTCGCGCGTAGATGATTTATGTTTAATACATCACACACACACTGGAAGGCTTGCTGGTGAAAATCAACAAACTGACCGAAGAGACAGGTGATGAAGACAGGAATCCAGCTGAACATAGAGAAGATGGAGGTGATGAAGGCAACCAACCAACCAACAACAAACATCATTCACAATCAATGGGAGAAATTTGAAACAGGTTACTTCCTTTACCTGGCGTCGGTAGCATAGCGGTTAGGACGCTCGCCGACCCCATGCACATGGTCCAGGGTTCGATCCCCGGCCACCGACGCACTCCTTTACCTCGCTGAGCTAGAAATAGTGCTGGTAAAGAGGAAAGGTTGGGCATGAGACTGGCTAGTAACCCCATCCTGTAAAAATAATCACCACTGCTACAGAAACTTGAAGCCTCCAGCTTAAAGCCCTATGTTCCACTGGGAAAGTGAAGCCAAAAAAAACTTCATTTACCTAACTAAAGGTGACAGAACGGATGAGAATGTCAAAGCTGCCCAAAATCAGAAAGGCAAGACAAACTATCATCACTCGGATATCAGTTTTTAAAATCTTCTGCACTGCACTCAGCCAGTCAGCGTAAAGAATAAGATTCGGATTTTCAACACCAGTTAGTTATTCTATACGGATCAGAAACTTGGTGCACGCGTCACTGAATGCATTTCCAACAGGCTAGGGTAGACTTTTATTAACAGGCGCCTTCGCTGCATATTGAAGATCAAATGGCCAGAAAGAATTAGCAGCCTATATGTACCTGTATATGTGAAACAGCAGAACACGATAGTATTCACTACGAGAATTCTAATTTGGGGAAATGATTTGCAACTACATAGCACAATACAGAATCCTTACATTGAAATCTTTATTTGTATATATTTTTCGGTCTTCTTTTAAAATTTTCCAAGTTGTTTCACCTCCACGCACACACAATAGACTACTTATAAAATCTTGTCAGTAGTACATACCACATATATATATATATATATCGACAGAGAGAGACTATTATTGAAGCCCTTTATATATTAAACTTTTACAGATCAACTGATTAATTAACAACTACTCGTGATCTCAATCGCATCATAATAACACACACGCATGTAATCATCGATTAAACTTTACACACTTTCCAAGGACTTACACAACCAGCTGACTTACTTACTCACTATCTAAGGTAGGTTGACCTAATTTTTTTACAGGTTATGTTGGAGGGGTATCATTCCTTTCTCACTTTTTGTTTTATTTTTTGAGAGAATAAAAAATCTATTTGTAGTTATGATGCAATGAAAAATATTCTGTCGATATACTGGATGATCAAATAATGCCTAGAAAAGATTATTGATAATTGAAAAGTTGTGCGTTAGAATATAAAAAAATCGATTGATTGATTGCAAGAAAAGACGGTGAATTTGAGTTAAAGACATCGCTTATCATCAACCAATAACATCAACCCTTACAAACCAAACTATAGAAAAGTAATCTGATGCTGCTCGCCAGTGACTTGCTACAGGTTGGAGTTTCCTGGAGTCAGTTCTAGTGAGAAGTCGTGACCAGTGAGGTCCAATTAGATGTCAGGTGTGTGGATGGATGTCCAACCAACGACAATGGTTGGGGTGGCGCTAAATCACGCATTGGTAGAAGTTAGAGTCCATGCACTGGTCATTGAATCGGGTTGGGTCCCAGTGGCTGAATGGTATACGAACCACCTTGCCTTTTAACCGGAAGGTCCCAGTGTGTGCGTACTGCCGATGATTCCCAAGCACTAGGATGAAACAGCAGCTGTCCAGTATTCCCTTCTGGTTTTCAATGGTTCTCTAACTGATGATATCAATCTGTGATCAACTCGTAAAAACATAACTAACCCTTACAAACCAAACTATAGAAAAATAACGTATAATCATGGATGACTGAGCAATATTTTGGGTTAATCATATCTGCACCATCGAGATAATTTTCTAGTCATATCACCTCACTATCTGGTATTTCTGTGCATCGATGGCACAGCGGTAGAATGCACGCCAATCACGCAGGTGATTCGGGGTTCGATCCCCGGCTACCGACGCACTCACAAACTTCGCTAACCCAGTAATAAGACTGGTAAAGAGGGAAGCTTGGGTATGTGGGGCTAGCAACCGCATTCTGTAAAAATTAAACAACACTGCTACCGAAACTTCAGAGCTCTAGCTTGAAGACCTATGTTCCAGCACTGGGAACGTAAAGGAATAAAATAAAATCTGGTGTTTCTAATCCAACAGACATCAGTTGACGCAACAGTTGGTCGACTCTCACGCTTCATTTTCTTTCAGTCTAGTCCTATTGTGGTGAGAGCTGGCGGCTAGCCATATTGGTAGACATTAATTCACGCCAATGCTTATGTCCCAAATATTGGTCGTCAGAAAAATAAGAACAAAGAATTTGCGTAGGTGGATACAGTTAATATATAGATGATCTGACATTCAAGAAACAGCCACAAAGAGATGGAAGATTAACTTTCAGTGAGAAACAACCACCAATCAGAAGACTGTGTTTTTCTGCTAACAATAATCTATAATAATGTACATGAAAATCTATAAATATGTGTTGATTTCCTTAATAAACGATCTGTTAACTGGTCCTTGTCTTCTGTTGTTATACTATTATCACGACCTCGTTATACTGAGTGAGGAGACGATGGGATAAACACGGGTAACACAAGATCCAACCACTCTACAATCTATGATAATAACACAGGGAGTCAATGAACATGAGTCACATGAAGTAAACTAACAGCTTGCATTTACGAGGTCAGAGTGAAGGATTAGATAGTTCAGCGATTTCTTGATGTTATTTAATGATCAATTTAAATGTGTTTGTGCATTCAGCATTTGCTGCCACAATTAGAAATAAGATGTGTTTTTTCAGACAATATCTTCACTTTCACAAATATTTTTTACAAAGTTTTCACTTTAATGTGAATGAGTAATTGCATACCAGGGAACAGAAAGTTTCAGCAGGCAGAAATATCCAAGATGAGTAATTGTCATACAACTGTGTAATCCTGTGTACCAATCTTATCCTTTATTTAACCTATGAATCCCCAGAAGTAGTCGATAAGAAAAAGTAGATGGGTTTGGTCACGAGCTTATTTCAGCTGGAGAACCACAAAAAAGTACTAGACGGCTAGCTTTTTCGTTTTAAGTTGGGACTCTTCACCAGGGTTCGAAACTCAGGACCTTCCGGTTGCAAAGCAAGCTGACAGACTACTATTCAGTCACTGGGACACAATCCAATGGCCAAACCATGAATCCCAACTTCTGTCGATTTGCAATATATAATCAAGCAAATTCCAACCAATGTTGTTTTACCTGATTTGATGGATCCCGCTGGTGAAAACTTCTCACTAGAACTCCAGGTAACCCTTCCTGTACATAGACCAAAGTGTTGGCTTCCAGAAATTTAATTGATTACAGTTTTAGTAAAAAGCTAACACTAACTAGAGAATCATTCATGGATCATTGAATCTAGTTATTCAGTGGTTTTCCAACCTACATCAGCTCGTGTAACCAATAGAAATTCTTGCAAACTAACCACTTGATGATATAAGAACAAGATTCGTATTTTCAATACCAATGTCAAGTCAGTTCACCGCGCTTCTATATATTTCAGAGATTTGACGCGTCATAAAGAGTATTTCGAACAGGCTTCTCACTTTCATCAACTTCTGCCCATACCGTCGATCAGATGACCGCGTCCAGAAAGGAAAAGCAACAAAATACCCTAGGAACGAACCAACTGACAACCTATTACTCAATATATACGCAGAAGGGAATAGAGATGGATTGGACATAAGCTGAAAAGCCTGTCAAGTGACATCAGGTCCCAGAGTGTGACCCGAATGAGGAACGCCAAGTTGCGCGTTGGTTCTAGGATGACATAGACGAGATCGTGTGAGAAGGGAATGAAAGCTTATGAGCAATCCTACAATCTACCAAAAAAATGTCAAAGATAACAGAGTCAAATGGAGATGTGCTGATAAAGGCCTATGTTCAACTCGCGATCCAGGAGACGAATGATAATAATGAATAGAAACGTATGGAAGAAAGAATAGGTATGTGGAGAGTAATTACAATTTAATGGGTTTAGAGATAAATAAAGGTTAATGGATCTGCATAGCTGAAAACGATTCTGAACTATGTTACTAAAAGTCTCAAGTCATTCTGTCTAAGCATCTCGAAGACTGCAATCAGGCATTCCCCACATTCCTCCCTGTGTGGCTGGTTCAAACCAATAGTTAAAGACTTTATCGACTAATATCATGCTTTGGTTTGACCATTCTTAACTCTCCTCAAGCCTCATCTTATATCAACTAACATTTCTCAACGAGGAAGGCGGTGGCCTGGCATGTATAACACAAGGTTCTAGTCATCTTAACCAATGCAGCTTCACAACCTTATCAATCGACTTTTATATTACACAAATTATTGATACACTTTACTTTGATTGGACACTAGTAACTAGTGTGATGTGTCCAATCCTTTCTTTGGTATCCACTACAGTCCTACAGGAGGTCAATCGCAACCACGAATAGCTCAGTGGTAATCTCTCTAACTGCAACACTGCACTGGGTGACGCGGGTTCAAATCTCAGAAGGGATATGAGTACCTTCAATGTTGCAGGAGATACGCCTTTCTGACTGCTGGTAAGTGTCAACTAGCACGAAACCTAGGTCAGGCAAGGCTTCCTGTGGCCGCCGATTGCCTCCAAACATCTAGTATATTTATATACACTTTCTTTTATTATAATGTTGAAATAAAAAGGTAAAGAAAACTATAAAGATTCACTTACGGTAACCGTTTCAAACCATCAAATCGACGTAACCAGTCTACAGTTAAAAATAGAACACGTGAAGCTAATTCACTTGATATACTAAGCGATCGATTATTGTTGTTGTTGTTTTCATTATCTTGACATGGTTTAAAAACTTCAGCATTTAAATCAAACATTGAATTCAGTAGAACAGGACCAACTAAAGGTGTATTCGGTCTAGAATTATCCGGTGATTTAGTACAACACTCAGAGGTTGATTCTGTTGATCTGTCTTCACCACCAGCACCAATATCATTATTACTAGTAGTAGTATTACCATGAATATCGTCGTGTATTTCATTTGTTGTATCTGTTATTCCTGAAGGATGATTTATGCCAACATTAGAATTAGAATTATCAGCATTAGGCATTACTGGATTATCACCAGCACCATCAGTAATATTACTATCATTATTATTACTGCTATTTTGAGTTCGTCGACGAATTGATCTTACAACATTGTCCGAAGTATAGGAATAGGGCATTTTTCGCTTACGACTTCTTGTCCATGTTGTAGTTTCATCTTTCATAGGTGATTTATCGATTGACTCGCTTTCACAGCTACCAACACCACCACTCGAGGTATGTTCATACTTTTTCATCACAGTTGTTGAATAACCGTTAACATCTGTATCACACAAAAAGAAGAGAAGAAATTAATTAAGTTATATTAATAAATCTACAGGAATTTATTCAGTCATTGTGATATAATCTAGAAATATTCAATTGTGAACATTAAAAAAATTATGATATTTACTTTTGTTTTCATTCTTTTGCATTCTGAACGGAACATTTATCTTTCATGTTAAGGAGTAGGAATATAGTGAACGATACTGAGATTAGCGTGGAGGGGGTAGAGTGATAGATAAGGAAGGAAAGGCAAACAATGCAACTGCGCAACTTCATCGATGTTAGGTGATATAGGATTACGTTGGAAAGGGGTTAGAACTTTGCACAGACGTGCAGCAGTTCAAGTCGCCACACTCCCTACTTGTAGCACACAAAGAAAGAGAAGAAAGTAAGCAGAAATGCAAAACAAAGACAGTAAACAGAGACATGAGGCAAAAAGAATAGTAATATCGAAGAACAATATAATTTTATCTGAGCCAGCCACTGAGAACAATTGTCATCAGCCTTCAATGGTTTTTACCATCCTGAGGACAACAGTCAGTCAGCAGGTCTACACCTCCCTACGTGGCTAGTTGGCTGGCTGGCTTAACCTAACTGTTGTGGATTTCATTCACTGATGAAGCCATGTCTATATATGACACTATCTCTTTTCCAACCTGATCCATCCTATGTCACTAACATTTTCCGTCAAGAAAAGCGATGACTAGGCATACATGCGTAACACATATCCTGAACATCTCAATCGATGTAGCTTCACAGCCTCGTCGATTGATTTCCCCTCCTTACCTAGTACTCGACCGATGCCTAACCTCAATATTGCTCATCTTATTACACCTACCGCCTAACACGAGAGATGGAAAGTAGACACCTATGATCAAAGACAGTTAACCGGCCTTTTCATGCCTTCCACTTTCAATGGTCAGGTCTCGCAGCCAGTTATGAAGGAGGACGTAGTGGACTGCTGAAGAGTAAACATGCCCTTTAGTCGATAGCCGGATATCACGTCTACTACACCGGGGATGACGTAAGCTGACATATGCGAAACGAGCCTTCTGTATCCGTGTTGAGATTTTCGTCAGTGATCAACCCGCTAGCACTGGCTGATTCAACTTTCCAAATAAATGAAATAGTCGACACGCTCTACCACTTTACTCCATATCCAGTTCCTTGTGGCTTACAATTTCCAGTGAAAGCATTTTGTTCTTTCGTTATTACTATTCCTTCTGTCTCTCATATCCCTAGCCACTGTCTCATTATGCATTTCTTTTCACTTCTTCTCTTTCTTTGTGTGCTACAAGGAGGGGCGATTCGAACTGTTGCACATTGGTACAAAGTTCTCCGTTGAAAGCAGTCACCCAGCGAATCACTGGTGGATTCCATCAAGTAGGATGTGAGGATAGACAATTCACCAATCATAACACCATATTGCTACTAACTGACTGTTTGACGTTACGATACACAAATAACTTATAATCCAATCCCTATGAATATGAATCAAAAACCTGACGCTCCTCAAACAAACAGCTATCTAGTCTCCTCTCACCCAATGATACTGATCGATTTTGCCTGAACTCCTATCGCAGTTCACGACAAAATCTATGAATATAATGTAAAAAGAAAAAGGTGTACAGGAATCATCATAATCAATCGATTTGAGTCAACTATGAATAATAAAACAAAATTTACTCAAATCTACTCCACATGTGTATATCTTCTTATAATATTAGAGAGATACATTTGCCCTATTCACTTTTATTATATTCGTAGAATGCAAAAATAAAAAATGTGTGGTCGTCGTCAGGTGAATACAATAACTCCTTTTGTTTTTCTTTCTTTCATACCCTTTACCAAATTTTGTAATATGTCAAGAATTTAGGTTAAAATTATTATTATTATTATTGTGTTTTAAAGGCACACCTAATTTATTCTAATATTTACCCTTCATTATTATTGAAAATAAAGTGAGTCGACGTGTATATATTTCAGTCATATAAGCAAGTGTGTAAGGAAAACGTTTTAAACAAAAAAAACACGTGCACTATTTTGTTAAATCATTCTAATGTATATATATTTTTTTAAATACCTACGTAACTTCCACTCCATACGATTTTTAAGTGAGGAGAATTACCACCTTTGTGGTGTGTTCTACTGACAATACTTATCAGTAGTATATAAGGAGACATTCATCAACATAAAAATATCAAATAACAGAAAGAAATCTCAAAAAGCTCCCACATTCTCTATGAGTTATCTGAAGACGAAAGAGCATCATTCGAAAACTACTCCAATACGCTTACAAAGAAAAGAACAGATGATGTTATAATGAAACTAAACATCAAAGCCTAAAGTCTGTTACAAAAAAGAACCGTCTTTCCTACTTGTCCAGAAAAATACGTGTACAATTATTCTGATGTTCCACTATCTCCAATTCAAATGCAAATTTTAGCACTTGAACTTAAGTTTTGTGATGCAACGTTAAAAAGGAATGAACTGAACACCAAAGTCCAATTCGAAAATTTAATCGACCAGACGAAAGATCTGGTCCCAATCTCAGATGAAAATGCAAACCTTTTCAAATCAACCGTTTTAAATTGCTGCACCGATTACATCAACAAAAAACCCAGCCTTCGTAACGTACTTTCTAAAGAATATCGAAAGCAGTTGAAAGAACTGAAGGATAATGAAAACTTGATCATCACACGAGCAGATAAAGGCTCCGGAATCGTCTTGATGAACAAATCAGACTACCTAAGAAAACTCTAGGTGATACTATCTGATGATAAAAAATTTCAGCAAAAGTCTCCACAGAAAGATCCCACCGAACAGACGGAGCTCGAGTTAACAAAGATATTGAAGAAAATGAAAGACGAATCCATTATCAGTTCAAAAATATATGGGTATATTATATTGCAGAGAAGAAAATATTCCATTATCAAGTCTCTCGTCTTCTCTTGTTACATCTACACAGTAAGTCGCTTTTGACACATAAACTGTGTTGAAAATAAATAATAACAATAAGATATTGTCATTTCTGCTTTTTGTGTCAGTGGTTCGGGTGTTAGAATGCTCATCGACCAGTCGCATGGTGGGGGTGGGGCGCAGGTTAGATTCCCAACCTATGCCTCATAGAAAACTCGTAAAAGATGGAGATTGGATGTGACACTAACAATTCTGACTCTTAGAATTAACACCACCACTACTGCCACCGGAACTTGAAACTTACTTTTTATTATCCTGCTTGGAACGTAAGGAATGAAGAAAAATGTCGGATTAGTATGAACATATTCAATTATTAGATGGTAGAAGACAATAAGTTTGAAGCTTCAAGGACCTAGGTTTCGTGCTTGTTGACCGGACTCATGTAACCGCCTCTGAGGTTCAAACTACCCTCCCCATCAAGTACTGCAGTCAAAAACATTACCACTGATCTCTCCGGATATTCACAACGCACATTGATTGATTAACTAGGGTGTAATCAGTGTCATGAGCATCCAGTCTTCCATGTTGGTGCAGTATGTTCATCACTAAGCTATGTGGCTGACCAGCGAAGACTATAATTATCATTCCCTTGGGTTCCAAACGGAACATAGGCCTTCAACAATACAACTTCACTTTCTTCTATTTTCTGCATTCCCCTTCAGCTTAGTCCACGAATACCCACAATCTCTCATCGCCTCCTCGTATGATCTCTTCCATGTCACCCTCGCACAGACGACCCACTCATCGCTTCCCACTGAGATCCCATTCAACTGATGACCTGCATTGCACGCGATATCATTCGACAGCCTCTTAAACGTTTGCCCGATCCATCTCCATTTTCTTCTGCATATTCTATTGCCTCTTATGAACACTCTTTCCAACAGGCAACAGATGCCAATATAATCCAGACACTACATTTGATTCAGCTTCAAAACCTTTCAACAATACATGAAAGCCAATCTTTCGACTACATCAATTCATATACATCAAGTGAAAAGCGTTTTCAATCAATACACAAAGTTGGACACACCTGTAAACTTTAGTTAGCCATCAATCATAGAAGTTTTACTTACGGTTAAGAAAATAATATGAGCAGTATGGGTGTCATATTCGAGACCCTCCCTATACATCGATCATGCATACTTTACATGAAGCGGAACATATATCATACAAAAAAAGAAGAATACAAGACCTATCAGCATACATTCTTTATCATACTATAATTTGATAAAGCATAATTTCATCACAAATTAAAGGAAGCTCCTAGATTTGATCCCTAGTAAAGTTGTAAGCTCTCATTACTGAAAAGTCTTATAAAATAGAACAAACCAGGAGTCTTACTGAGGATTTTCAGTGATTCTCTCTCTCTCTCCCTACAACAACAAAGAAAACTCCATGATTTATATATCAGTCTACGCCCTGATTGGCGGCTGATATTTTGATAGATAGATGTCCCGAAATTCTAATGTAAGTAATCATGGTTACTGGGATTCATTATACCGTGGTGAGAAATAGAAAGTGATGAAAACCTATTATTAGCCTATTAAACACACACACGAAAGAAATCAATACTTAAACACCTATTCCTTTGAGCACATTCTTCGAAAAATATCCTTCTTATGACGACTCCAGCTGCGTGTACAAATTTAAATGTTTCTGTGGGAGCAGTTACATTGGAAGAACAAAAAGAAGGGCATATCTCTGATTTTCTGAACTTATACCAAAAGCCTGCGTACGTCTCAAGGGAACGAATGCTTCAACAGTACCAATGCCAAGTATCTCTTTGACACGGGTCATGAACTGGACATTGCAACATCGTTCAAAATTATCAGTAGGCAAAAGAGTTAAATTTTCTTTAAGTTTGCCGTAGCAATCTCTATTATCAAGGGCCTGAAACCCGATTTATGCGTTCGGAAAGAAGTGGTTTTCAGTCTTTCCTTGTCCTGGTAACGGGTTATTTTCATCCTGCCTTTCATCTGATTATGTAATGCCGAAAGATCCTATTGTGTACGGTTACTA